GTGGGCTGAGCCCCGCCTTTTGCCTCGGGGGCCTTTTCCCTGTCCCGATCATTCCTCTGACGTTTGTCATGACCAATGTAGGACCCGAGGAATCCCCTCTTGATTAAGGCCTCAATCTCCCGCTGTAGGGCCTTACAGTTCTCTGTTATGTGCCCGTGGTCCCGGTGGAAGTCGCAGTATTTGTTGAAGTCTCGTGAGTCTGGTGGGGACCTCAGCCTAGAGGGCCACTTCAACTCCTTCATATCTTTGATCTCCATTAGAATGTTCCTCTTGGAAGTGTTCAACCGGGGGAAAGATGTTGGTGGAATGTCCTGTCTAGGTCTGTTCGGCCGAACCTCTTGCCGTGAACTAGAGTTGTGAGGCCGTTTATGCTCGACCTTATCATGTACCGGGCCCACTTTTCTAGCATTCATTGTCTCCTCCATGTTTATGTATTTTTCTCCTCGAGTTAGGAGCTCGGTCACTGACTTCGGTGGAGTTTTGGATAATGACATCTTGAAGGCCTCACACCTTATGGCATACGTAAGGGCAGAGACTGCCGCCGTGATGTGAAGGTCAGGTATCTGAAGTCTTTCCTCGTTGAACCTGGTCATGAAGTCGAGCAATGATTCATTCTGCCCTTGACGAAGCTGCATGAGGGAAGCTGTTGTCTTTCGGATGCGCTTACTGCTCGCAAAGAAAGCAGAGAATTTGTCTGCTAGATCCGAGAAAGAAGCAATGCTATTGGGTTCCAGGGTTGAGAACCAATCCCTGGCGGCATTTGTCAGGGTTTGCGGGAAGGCCTTGCACATCACTTGATCCGGTGCCACTTGTAAGTTCATGACGTCGGTGTATATGTTGAGGTGATTAACAGGGTCCGTCGTCCCGTCGTACTCCTTTATACGGGGATACTTAAACCTATCAGGCAAAGGGAATGACAACATATCCGCTGTGAATGGAGTGTTAGGGGTGAAGCTGACCTTCTGGCATTCTGAAGTAGTCCCGCGGTAATTCCCTCCTGAATGATCCGGGCTATGTCCTCCCGGTCCATTGTTACCGACCTCGAGGCCATGTTATCAACGCCCGAGCCCCCAATTCCTCCAGTGTCATTCGCAGGGCACGGGTCCCGAGCCCTATCATCGGTCGTGAAGCCTCCCGAGGGCACTACATCGCCCGCAACACCTCCTCCGGGTGCTGGCTCTTGTCGCGGATGCGAACTTCTCTGACTCAGTAGCTGTGTCAATGTGGAAACCTCTTGACTGAGCTCTTTGGAAGCCCAAGGCGTAATGGTGGGTTGAGGTGCTGGAATCCCCGACGATTCTTCTGGAAGAGCAGGCTGTCCTTCTGGAAGATTCGAAGCAGATACACCTGCTGGTAGAAAATCGAAGCGTGTGGTAACCATGGCTTTTGATAGCGCTTCCCACAGACGGCGCCAATGATGCTACCAAAAATCGTACCTGGCTGTTCCAGACCCCGATGACTGTTGATGAGCACGAACGTAATCTTCCAGTACCTTCAACAAAGGCGGTGAGGTATGACCTCGTCGACCCTCCGATGCTTAAATCAGACAGGGGATTTATGCGTAAGGTTATATAGGCTAGAATCCTTGATGAGGTAGGATGCCTCCTTCTTTTAAGTGCTAAGACGTAGGGGTAGAGGACTTTACCTCGAGGACTTGATAGTAGAAAACCTCGAGAGCTTATTAAGAATTACCTCGAGGACTAGGCAAGACCCCGAGGACTACCCCACCAAATCAGGGAAAGACAGCTGGCTGGAGTCCTCGAGGAAATATCGTGCCTAGCAGTCGTCGAGGTGGGATTGGTCCTCGGGCTTGCTATGGAGTCCTCGAGATACTCAACGATACTGGTCGCACAGACACGGGGCTTGATCTCGTCAGGCCTCGGTCATCATAAAATCTACCACATCAGTACTAATGGTGTTAAAACACTAGTTTAGATGATACTAATGTAGCATTAAATGATAAATATAGTTAAATGAGTCACTTAATTCCACATTTTATTGAGCATGTCATATATCACCACCTAGACCAGTGGTATAGCATCGCTAGTGCTAGATAACATTATTCTTCACCTTATGTCTCCTTTCGGTCAATATCTTTCTTGTCTGATTCCTTTGATATGGGTAGCATAAATTTTATAGAAAGGTTCTCAATCTAAGAATTTTCTCAGCCTCTGATTTCTATTTAGCGATCACCATCTTCCTTATTTCTCGGGAATTCTTTGGTCTGCTTTTTTTTCAATTTTTTTATCGTGATTTCAGCACAGTTTCTCAAAGACAGTGTCAATCTATTGACCTTAAAATCCACACAACATTTTTGCCAAAAGATCTCTTACCACCTCTCTCTACCTGTATGCTATATTACATACACAACACGAACGGCTAGGCACTAAGGTCATCGTTCCAAGAAAAAAGACCGACGGTTTTGACACTTCAACAATCAAGTCAACGGTCGATATACCTTGATGTTGTTATCTACAGGGTTAAAAATTCAAATGATCATTAAACTTTGCACAATATTTTCATTGACCATTAAACTTAAAAGTTTTTCGAATTGTCACTGAATTTTTAAGATCGCAATCACATTAGCTATTAAACATTAGAAGTGACTAACTATTAATCTTCGAGATGAAATGCTAATTCCCTACAGGGGATGGGGCAGGAGCACAGACGGGAACAAGGATGGATTTAATCCAGAATAGAGATATATGGGAAGCATTGTGACGGAATGTTCACCCCACAAGCAGAAAAGTTTGAAAGCATTTTAGCTCCTCTGCTACATTGTCCTATCATATACAAATTACATTCAGCTTATACTTTCTAGCATATATATGTGTTCAGTTTCATTTATTCATTATTATTACCTTAATTTTTCAAGCCTTAATACCCAAAAACTCTTCAAATCTATGGGGCCATCTCCATCACTGTCAACTTCAGTCATCGTTTCTTGAATTTCTTCCTTCGTTGGATATTCGTTCAATGAATGTATAACTGCTGCATCGAGGGAAATCATAAATTTTGGCAGCTTGTGCCTATTCTCGTCATGGATCAAGACACAAATTCAACTCACTTTAATTCCATCTTCATTCATCGTTTCTTGAGTTTCTTCCTTCGTTGGATGTTCGTTCAATGAATGTATAACTGCTGCATCGAGGGAAATCATTAATTTTGACAGCTTGTGCCTATTCTCGTCATGGATCAAGACACAAATTCAACTCATTTTAATTCCATAATTCTCTACTCACAAGTTGAATAAAGTACCTAATCTTGTCATGGCTGGAGACAATTCTATTCAATTCCCTTTAATTCTACAAATCCCTACTCACAAGTTGAATAAATTGAATTAAAGTTAGACTTATTTTCACTTTAAAGGGTACAATCCCGATAAGTGTGGCACGTTGTTTATTCCTTTCCTGCTGAATTATTGATTTGATGTTTGTTCATCAAATTTTTTGAGTTGTCGATGAGTATATTATTTTAGCTTTGAAACACATTGACGTTATTATATTGATATGTTCGCTTTGTTACATAAATTTTATTACGAGTTTCGACCGGCTAGTCACGTCCTCCCGTAAATTTCGTGGCATTATTTCCACTGTACACCAAGCATGGTTCACTTATTTTTCACACCATAGACTTCATGTAAGACCTATTTCTCTGCGGAAGAAACAATTTCTTACTGTCGTAATTTTACTCTCTTTCATACTGGTACATAATATTTCTTGGTATTGGAAAAATACATTGTTTTAATTTTTATAGGTGATCGATTTGCCCAGACCATTGACCCTTTATCTTTTTGGAGATGATGTCTGTGTCTGATCTAATTTTTTAAAGAGCCGTGCTACAGTGCCCTCAGGGGTGACCAAACGGGTGACCACACACACTCACATGGGGATTATTTTATTCACGTGGGACCCGCGCCTCGACTGAGAGGGTGTGGTCATCCTTGCGGTCACCGGCGCGGGTCGTTTAGCATTTTTCTTTTTTAAAACATTGCCCCGACCATTGACCCCGAACATGTGCCGTGTCACGGGCCGGCACGAGTCTTAATAAAAAAAAATTAAAAAAATACAGTTGCCTATGTTAAAATTAAAGCTTCTTGCAATGCAGGCAGCTGTTTTTATTTTTCTTAAATTTGTTTAAGGTTTTTTAATTTTAAGAGTATTTTTTTATATATTAATATTTAGTTATTATTTATAATACGTATTCATTAATAAAAAAATAACGAATAAAAAAAAATCGAGCCGGCTCAACTTGCTAAGTGTCGAGCCTGAATTTTTTGGCCGAGCTTTTGCTTGGCTTGGGCAAAAAAAAGTTCGAACCATTTTTACTCAAGTCGAGCCCGAGCTTCGAGTTTTAAATGAGTTTTGGAATAATGATTTTTTGGAGAATGTGTAATTAAAAAGTATGAAAAGATTTTGAGTGTACGTGCAAAATATTGTATTGTGAGAATGTAAGGTTAAAAATGAGTTTGAGGGGCAAAAAAGGAATTTTGTTTTAATGGTTGTCAAATAGGAGCATATAAAGAATGGAAGGTTAAATAAATGATTGTTGGAAAAATGTAAAATAAAGACTTTGTTAAAGGTTTTCAAAAATTTTACTTTTAAGATTCTTTGTATTATGTACAAGAAGCTCTTTAAAATTAAAGAATTTCTTGGAAACACTATTACAAACCGTATTTTATGTGAAATTGACCCATTGCTTGCAAATAGCGTTATTCTTGTATATTTATCTCTGATCTATATCCAATATTATTAACAATTCATTTTCTAGTGAACAAGCAGAATATGAAAATGTAGTGTGTGTTATCAAGGACAGACATCAAATAAATTAGAAAAGAAAGTTCGAGTAATTTAATAATGCTGGTAATTTATTGCCGATAGAGGTAACATATTACATGAATTCCCTTTCTTGTATCTCATTACATCGCCTATGTATTTGTTATGTCGTTACATTAACAATTTTCTTCATATATTCATAAAATAACAAAGGAAGGAACAAAATCAAGAAGATGAAGCCATCATCATCCTCACAAATTCATCATAGCTGACTAGACCATCTCCATCAAGATCAGCTTCTCTTATCATTTGTTCAGCTTCTTCATCAGTTAGTCTTTCTCCCAAATTTATCATCACATTTCTTAACTGCATATCAAGAGAACATAAATAGAGTCAAAATAATTGTATTTTTTAAATGAGGTTGTTCAACAAAATCAGTGAACAGTTATTTACTTAATAAAAGAAGGCGGTGGGATAGGGTGAAAGATTTTTTAAGATGGAACCCCAATTCTCTACAATTAGTACCAGAGCTATGCCCCAAACTTAGCCATGTGGAAACAGATGATGGATACCTAGTTGATGATCCAAAAATTTCATGGTTGGATTTCAAGTTGGTTGTGCCAATGTAAAGAAGTGTCCTTTGATGCCGTGGAAGAGTTGGGCATTGATGGAGCATGTAATCCTCCCTAATTTGAGGAAGTGTGAGGGATAAATTGTTGCCTAGACGGGGGGATGATATGGTATAGATGGGGGAATGTCACGAAAGTTCGAACAAATTTCCACTTACGTGCAGTAGATGATTGGTTTATAAGGGAATTGTGCTACACCGAATAAATTAACCTTTTGAGAATAAACTCCATAATTCCCTGCTGGGAAGGCACGGGCGCACGAATGGAGTTAAACAAGAACGGAGATTTGTGGGAAGCATTGTGATGGGATGTTCACCTCAATAGCGGATATGAATCCATCTTGATCCCTGTCGAAAACTTTGAAAGCTTCTTTGAGCTCCTCTGCTACATTGTCCTATCAAATACAAACCACATTCAGCTTCTAATTCCTAGCATATATCAATCTGTAATTTCAAATGGATTCATTAATATTACCTTCATCTTTCTAGCCATAATACCCAAAAACTCTTCAAAGTCTATGGTGCCATCTCCATCACTGTCAACTTCATTTATCATTTCTTGAATTTCTTCCTTTGTCGGATGTTCATTCAACGAGTGTATGACTGCTGCAAGTTCTGCCATGGTGATTACACCTTTACATGGAGAAAAAAAAAATGGTTCCTCAGTGAACTCATTATGATGTAGTAACATTTACTGGTCGAGCATGAATGAAAGTCGGTCTTAATGATCCGACAATACCAAGTGGAAGGCTGGTGGCTCGACGGATAACACATGAATCTAATCAAGAAAAAGGAGTAGAGAAATTACCATCAGAATCTTTGTCAATCAGACAAAAGGCTTCACGGAACTCAGCGATCTGTTCTTCTGTCAATGTATCTGCCATTCTGATGATCTTGATTTACAGTCTTCGAACAACAATGGGAAAAGTGTTCTTTTGGATGTCCCCGAAGAACGGTGAGAAAATCTTTAGTTTAACAGGAACATGACAAGATTTGTCGCAAACTTTATAATTATAATGGGACACTTTTTCTCAAGTAAATGCTTAAAAGTCAAACACGCCTAGGGAAGAACAAAATCATTCAACATTCAAGAAAGAAACTTCTGAAATTTAGGGTCCAAAATCAACGGTTTGAATGGAATAGAATACTGCAAGTCTGCACCACAACTCAAGAAGAAATTAATTTAGCCGTGCTACTTATAGGAGGTCGTTTTGTTGACAAATTCTCTGGGGTGGGTGGATAATTTTTTTTTTTTTTAATCACAGTGAGGCCTACCATTGTGACAGATTGTCAACCCTTCTACAAATGGAATTGCTCAAAGAATTAATATTGGCTAAGTTGTCTATATAAGTCAGCTTGATAATGACTGCAATTTATTCTTGGGTTTGATTTTTAAGGCCATTTAGGCTGAGCTCTCCTAATCAAACGGGGCTGCGGGACAGGAAATTTAAACAGCCCTTGATTTGAATTGTTGTAATTCAAATCAATGGCTGAGGTGCTCTTTAAATTCTCTGTCACCGGCCTTGTTTGAGTAGCATTAGTGATTTAGGATACTCGATGCATTCTTGCAAGTCAAGTACATACGGGTACATATTAGAGTAATTGTATTCCAACTACAATAATGCTCTATATACATCGTTGTTTACATTATTTTTCACATTTTGTCACGTAACAATAAATCATTAGACAGTTTTTTCATCCAATCAACACTTGCCAACACTTGTAATGTTAATAATAATGTTAACAAAAGAGTGTGCAAATCGCATTTTTAATCCAACTATTGAAGATTTCAAATATAGTACACTTAAATGAGGTTTACGGCTTGTTTGGTAGGGATTCTCATTTTGCTACAGTAAATCAATTCTCATTTTCAACCACACATTATTTAATAAAATAATATTTTTCATCATATCAATAATTTTTTTTTCTTTTTCAACCACACATTTCCCATTATATCACTATTCAAAATCAATTCTTCCGCAAAAAAGCCCTACCAAACAAGCTATTAATTCTGATGAATTTAAATGTCGAGATGAGATGGTACAAGAGTAAGGATTTAAATTCAAATGCTGGAGTCATATGTCATGCTTTGACTAAAAATAAGAAAATATTATCTGTCATCACAACTGATGATCATTACACTAGCTAGTCACTGTTATAGTGCGATCATTCTCACGTTGTTGAATAAATAAAAATGCATTGCAACTTCATTGAACTATGTGATAGTGATCTCATGATCACATAAATTGGTGATTATCGACACTAATGATGAATAACATTATTCTGAAAAATAAATCTAGTTGGTGCATGTTGAAAACCAAATGTAAAAATATATATAGCTTAAGGAACCTTAGAAGATAAGAAATGCTAACAATACACGGGAGGAAAATAAGCACTAAGAACATGTTTAGTTTGCCTAAAAGTAAGTCAACTTCTAGAGGCATATTTCAATTTTATAAANTTAAAATGGGGTAATGAATAGTATTTTTTGGAGAATGTGTGGGTGAAATTGAGAGTTACTTTATTGGTTTATGTGTAGAATGTTTTATTGGATAAATGTGTGGTGGAGAATCTTACTGTAGCAAACAATTTTTTGGAATAATGGTAGACAAACATGGGCTAAATTGCAACTTATTATTCCATGTGTGATAATTTTTTTGAATGTATGTGTATATTTTTCTATATATTAACTTTGCTTCAAATTTAGGTTTTTAATTATATTTGTATAGTTTCATGTATAAGAAGATAATATATTGTTTTTCATACTGTTTGTTAAAAATACCTGTCATCAATTACGTAAATTGAAAGTATTCTTTTTTTTTTTTTTTTCCATAACCTACGTCGTAAGGCAACTAGTATAAGTCAACTAGAACTTTGGTTAAGTTAAAACCACCCTTGAATTTATTTTTTTTCCGTAACCTACGTCGTAAGGCAACTAGTATAAGTCAACTAGAACTTTGGTTAAGTTAAAACCACCCTTGAATTTATCAATTCAACCTCTAGATTAGGCAACCATTCCTCTATAAAGCTAGACCCGACTCCAATTAACTAGATTGGAGAAAATTTGGCCCAAGAGAGGCATGATGTCCTCAACTAGGCTCCCGATTCTACTAAAAGAACATGGGTCAAGCTGAGGCATAAATATAACAAATAACAAAGAGAAAATAATTATCAAAATTAAACAAACCTTTAACTACAGATGCTTGGAATCTTATTGGTGACTTGATTGCTACTTGTTGGATTAATGTTGATATTCGCAGGGTGCCAAATCGTGGCAATTAGGTTACCTATATACTTTTGTAGCAGGGACAATATGCAACGAGGTTCTCCTTAATAACTATGAGCTAGGGATGGTAACGGAACGAGTCAATGATTCCTATCACCTGTTCCATTGTGTATTTTAGTCACCTTGTCTAGCCCTCATACCCGATTGAAGCGAAACTGATGTGATCCATGATACGAGGATAAGTCCGGACGAGGAGCCATTGATCGCGAAGGAAGGACCAATGACGAGGTCATGTGCAAAGGAGGTAAAGAAAGCTATAAGATTGCTTGCTCAAATTACGATGGACAAAACATCGATCACAACAAATAAAGGAACAACCCAAAAACAACGCGAGTCATTGGAGGTAATTTAAATAATTAATGTTGCTCATGGTCCATTTATATAATTATATAACCTCTTAGATAGTTTTGAATTTTGACCCATTTAACCCCTTTTATTGGTCCAACTAAAACCTAACCTAGTATGTATATATATATATATATATATGGTGTTTTTTCCATAGCCGCTTAGTGTGTGATTTGTGAGAAAAGAAGAAAGAAATCGTGTGCAAGAAGAGAGAAAAACCAACAACCCCTTTGAAGAGAGAAAAACGTGTGGCTTTCTTGGTATTTTGGTCCCGTTTCTTACCTTCTTTCATTGTTTTTCTTCTTACCTTTGTAGCTACAAATCATCATAATTATCTGTTATTTGTGTGTGAGATAGAGAAGCAATTGAGATGAATATATTGGTTGTGGGTTTGAGCCATGGAGATTGGTTGTTTGATAGACAAAGGTAACATAAAATTGAACTTGAAAAACACTGTTTTGACAACTATTGAAACAAGCTTCCGCGACATTAACTATGGAATAAGCTAGTGCTGTAGGAATTTTAGGAATTGTATGAAACTTCACGATGTATTATGAATACTGGAGCGTCATCAATCATATTATGATTGGAATACACCAAAAGGCAATGTTACATGCACAAATTCACAAGGACCATACTACATGTACCTAATTTATTTTTTTTCATAATCCCTTACCGACTACTCACACTAAGGGGTAGACACCACAAATTGGGATTTTTTTTTTCACGCGGGGCCCGTCTGCATGTGAGAGGGGGTAAACAATACTGTACATTAAATTATGTACAAATATTTTTACCTAATTCACAATACTTTTTCAAAGCGTACTTTGGCCGAGTCAACATATTATGCTAGTAGTCACTGATTCAATCAGCGAGTCATTGAATTAATCCGTGGGTTATTTTAGTGTCTAAAGGTAAAACAAAACTTCAATTTTGAAAACGCCACAGATATAATTACAAGTTTAGAAAGTTAATGTAGATTCTGAATTAAAAATTCATTTATGAATTTCAATATAATAATTATCAAATGTTCTATTTTTAAAATTTAAATATAAGACATATACATTTTTTCATATTATTTGGTCTTTCATTTATATTTATCAACAATTTATTTGTCATTCTTTTATAAGACGAATAAATATTTAAGTATTTTTGAAAAATACAATCTACAGTATATATATATATATTTGGAGATAGTGATGGTATAAAATAAAGAGGTATTTAGGTATTAAAAACATGACTCTTGCCCATATAAGTCTTCTTGGTTCGAAACTATGCATTCTTCATTTTTTTTTTTTACAAAAAAATTGTTAAAAATTTACA